ATTATATGTGCAAAAATTGCAAACCTCAGTCTTTATAAATGATTTAAATTATGTCAAAATTATTTGAAGTGTTAATTAAAAAAGACTCTTATCTTTTACTTCCCCGATCTCAACTGCGAAAATTTTTTCATTCGACATGTTTTAAGTTTCTTGTTGTCGAAATGAGTCTACACATATTAAGAAAAAATATTATATTATAATAGCATACATGGGATGAATAGCTAATTTCATGCTTCCTCGACGTTTTATGGCCATTAGAGTACGAAAAAACAGGTCTCCCGTTTTCGCCTGTCTGTCTTGTCTGTATGTCATCTGTGTCGATATTAATTAGCCAGATAATCTTCGAAACTACCGAACCGATTGTTGTCAAATTTTATATGTGTTATGAATATCATGTAGATGGTAAAACGATAACCAAACTTTGTCCATTCATCGTCATCGTCTATACTAAACGTTATTTAAATTTTATAAAATAAGATACGCCTACACGTGCAGTTTATGAATCCGTAGTAACTTTTAGAAAAAAAAAAGAAATCAAAAAGTAACGTGAGATTTAAAAATTGAAAAATTGAAAATACGAAAAATCGAAAATTCAAAAGTAGAAAGATTGAAAATTCGTGTAGCGAAAATCGAAAACTCAAGAAATCAAAAAATCGAAAAACTGAAAAATGAAAAAATTAAAAATTGAAAAGCAAAAAAAAAATTAAAATTGGAATATCGAAAAGTTGAAAAGTAAAAAAATGGAAAGTCTAAGAATAATTGAAGAATGGAAAAACTGAAAGGTTGAAAATTCGGAAAAACCAAAAATCGAAATTTGAAAATTTTAAAGAATTAAAAAATTGAAAAATCTGGAAATCGAAAATGCTAATGGCGAAAATTCCATGAATCAGATATCAAAAAATCGAAAATTCGAAAATCTAAAAATCGAAAAAAGAAAAATCAGAAATTCGAAAATCGACATTTCGAAAAATCGAAAATTCAAAAGTTGAAAAACTGATAAATTGAAAAATGGGGAAATCGAAATTAAAAAAAACATAAAAACTCGAATATCGAAAATTTGGAATTTCCAAAAATTCGGAAAGTCGAAAAATTGAAAAATCGACAAAATGATAATCGAAAAGTAAAAAAAATCGAAAAATCCAAGAACTTGAACAGAACAATTGAAAATTGGAGGAATCAAAAAGCAAAAACAAAATAAACTTCTAAAAACTGAAGAATATAAAAATTGAAAACTAAAGAAATCAAAAAATCGAAAAATAAAAAAAAATGAAAATTGGAATACTGAAAAACTGAAAAGTAAAAAAAATGGAAAGTCTAAAATTTAAGAAAGGAAAGACTGAAAAATTCGAAAAAATCAAAATCGAAATTTGAAAATTTGAAAGAATTAAAAAAATTTAAAAATCTGAACAGCGAAAATTCCATGGATCAGATATCAAAAAATCGAAAATTCGAAAATCTAAAAATCGAAAAAAGAAAAATCAGAAATTCAAAAATCGACATTTCGAAAAATCGAAAATCTCAGTATCAATCAAACTATAGAAAAAATGAAATATCGAAGAGGGAAAAATCTAAAATTCTAAAATAGAAAAACTGATAAATTGAAAAATGGAGAAATCGAAATTAAAAAAAAATAAAAACTCGAATATCGAAAATTTGGAACGTCGACAATTCGGAAAGTCGAAAAATTGAAAAGTCGACAAAATGATAATCGAAAAGTAAAAAAAATCGAAAAATCTAAGAACTTAAATAGAAAAATTGAAAATTGGAGGAATCAAAAAGCAAAAACAAAATAAAAAACTGAAGAATATAAAAATTGAAAAATCAAACATTCGAAAAATCAAAACTCGATTGAAAATTCGAGTATCGAAAATTGAAAACTAAAGAAATCAAAAAATCGAAAAATAAAACAAAATGAAAATTGGAATACTGAAAAATTGAAAAGTAAAAAAAATGGAAAGTCTAAAATTTAAGAAAGGAAAGACTGAAAAATTCGAAAAAATCAAAATCGAAATTTGAAAATTTGAAAGAATTAAAAAAATTTAAAAATCTGACTAGCGAAAATTCCATGAATCAAATATCAAAAAATCGAGAATTCGATGAATCTAAGATTCGAACATAGGAAAATACCGAAAATCCGAAAATGTAAAAATCGAAGAAAGAAAATTCAAAAATCGACATTATTTGGAAAAATCGAAAAATCCACGTATCAAAATATAGAAAAAATGATGGAAAAATCTAAAATTCTAAAATAGAAAAATTGATAAATTGAAAAATCGGGAAATTAAAAAAAATTAAAATTCGAATAAAATTTGGGGTTTCGAAAAATCGGAAATACAAAAAATGAAAATTCGAAAAATCGGAAAGTCGAAAAATTGAAAAATCGACAAATTGATAATAATCGGAAAGTTAAAAAATTGAGGAATTCTAGAACTTGAACAGAAAAATTTGAAATTCGGGGAATCAAAAATCGAAAAAGGAAGATTGAAAATTGGACCATCGAAAATCGAAAACTCGAGAAAACAGAAAATCGAAAAATGAAACGGAAAAATTGAAAAATTCAAGTCTAAATACCGAAGAATGAAAAAAACTGAAAAATCGAAAATTGATAAAACAAAAATCGAAGAATCGAAAAATCGAAACTGAAAAAAACCGAAAATTGAAAATATCCAAGAATTAAAAAATTGAAAAATCCAGTAATCGAAAAGGAAACAAATTGAAAATTGAATATCGGAAGATTGAAAATTCAACGAATTAAATATTCGAAACAACGAAAATCGAAAAACCGAATAATCAAAACATTGAAAATGGAAAAAACAAAAATTCAAAAAAATTCAAAGTCGAAAAATTGAAAATCGAAAGATAAAAAAATGAAAAATCCAAAAACTTGAATGGAAAAATTGAAAATTCGAGGAATCAAAAAGCAAAAAAAAAAATGTAAATTCAAAAAACTGAAGAATATAAAAATTGAAAAATCGCAAATTCGACAAAACAAATCGAAAAAGAAAGATTGAAAATTCAAGCGTCAAAAACGAAAATTCGAGAATACAAAAAATCGAAAAATGCAAAAACTGAAAAATCGAAAATTCAAAAAATCAAAAATCGAAGAATCGAAAATTCGAAAATGTAAAAAAACGAAAATTGGAAATATTGAAGATTTATAGAAATTGAAAAATCGAGCAATCGAAAAAGAAACAAAGTGAAAATTGAATATCGAAAAATTGAAAATTCAATGAATTAAGTATTCGAAAAAACGTAAATCGAAAAATCGGAAAACCGAAAAATCTAAAAATCGAAAAACTAAGTAATCAAACATTCAAATTACATAGGGCACTCCATTTAAAAAATACAATTTTGGTGAACAATGTTTAAATGAAACACCTTGTATATTTGAAAACAACTGCCAATCGCAGCTCTCAATTATTTACATCACGCTGTATGGAAAAATATGTTCAATAGTTCATAACAAACGCGTGATCTTCCCCAACAACATCAACCCTGTATATATTTGTGTAGAACCACTACAATTTAAATTAAAACTAACGAGATATCATTAAACTACGACTAAGAAGCATGGTAAACTGCATATGACAAGTATATTTTTTCATAAAAAATTGTGATCGCGTCATCAATTTCTGGGAGGCGATAGGTTAACAAATTCCAGTTTTCGTTTTGGCACATGGACGACGATTTCAAAGTTAGTCTAAAATTTTAAAGCAATCAGTTTCGTAGTTTTGTAAACTGTTGTCAAATTTCAAGTGTGTGTTAGGAACATCCTCCAGATGGTAAATCCTTAACCACACTTTGTCTAATCATTCCACCAACAATTTGATGGCGTCACCTCAAAATTTTGCATTGTAAATGCTATTTAAATTTTATAAAATAATATATTCCTGTATTTGTGGGCCCTTTTTTTCCTCTCGTACACTACGACTATTATTACCTATATTTTTTAGCTTATAGGGGTTACTATAAAATAATTAAAATATCGCAAACTTAACTATCAGGTGCTAAAACTAAACCATTAAAAAAACTTCAACAATTAAATTTTTCCTAAGCTGTGAGATTTATAAAATAAAAAAGATGATACACTAGTTTAACTTTAAGGGTCATATATGATTTAAATGATGAGTTCACCTTAAACATGATTAATCTTAACTGTTTAATATTACTTGCGCTTTTTTAATTATTTGTTAGGTTAAACAAAAACAAAAGTTAATGATTAATCAATCTCCAAATATAGATTTAACCTACCGTAGTTCACTGATAAACTAACTCATTTTTATGAACATATCCAACGAATGATTACTTTAATAGTCCAAATAACCATCATTTAGCCACTAAATTTAGCACAGTTGCTTGGATAATTGTTACCTTACAATGTTGCTTATCGAATGGTTATTTTTAAATCCAGTGAAGGAAGCACTGCTTTATAAATAAATGTGCACTGAAAATGTAGTTGTAATAACAATTGTATGTGCAACTCGTCCGGTAAAACTTTTCATGCCTTGTGAAATAACTTGATTTTCGTAGCAAAATACAGTCCAAATTTTCCATAGGAACTATTGTACACCTACCGAGTAGGTCAAAAATGCCAAATTATTTCACAGAATAGTTACCATCAGCAACAGCAAGGATGTCAACAACAAAATAAAATAAAAATAACAATAATTATTTATTTTTCTAAACAGCAACAAAAACATAATAAAAATAAGTGTACATCTACAAGCAACATAATTGGCCTCGTGCAAACATAAATTGTTCACCTTGTAGAAACCGCCAACGTCAACCCGCCTAATTGCCCACTAAAGCTACTACATAATTTTATTATCAAAAACAAAACAAACACATCACACTCACTAAACGGAACAATCAATTAAACTGAATGCGCTTCAGCACGAAAATTACACAACGAAATCGAAATTTCCAAATTCAGAAACTACAACAAATCATTTTTTGTGTCCACTACTACAAGGTGCTGGCCGGAGAGATCTTCCACTTACTCTTGGCATTTCCCTCTCTGTAGTGTCCTCAGCAGGAGGCGGTGGTCGCGGAGGCGGCGGAGACGCGTCACGTTTGTACGTTCGCGACGTTATGAGATCGTCAAAATACAGTTCCGATTCGGAAGAAGGCACGTAAATCGGTGCGCGAGAACCTACCGGGAGGCATCGAAACATCCCCTCTTCGTCAAAAAGGGAAAAAATGAGCCGGTCCACTGATGGGTTAATTTGGAAGGGGGCGTGGGGTGACAACTGTAGATGCATGGCACGAAATATAAAAAGTCCGTTAAAACGCTGAAACTTGTCAAAAAAAATATATGGGAGCTTTCAGTGTCAGGTGCATTTTTTATCCTCTTGGTTAACTTTTTTTTAATTAACGAGCGGTAGCGAAGGGAAATATTGTAGCACGGTTGTGTCGTTTTACGTTTTCTTGGCGTTTCACAATCGCAAAATACGAAAATGTGGGTTTACGCAATGTTTACTACTTATCGAACTACTCTTGCTTGGAACTTTGATACATTTCGTATCAAATCAAATACCACTTCCAAGTATCATATACAAAAATGCAGATTTTGATTATGTGTTTCTAAAGCTACTGTAAATTAAATTCAACGACGGTGGCATCACCTGAAAACCCATCAGTATTTCTTATAAAATAGTTTCTTTTCTTTCATTTCCATCTGGCGTGCTCTGAATTTATTTGTCTAAATTTATTTATGTATTTTTCTTGCACTTTTTATGTTCTTTATTGCAGTGTGGAGTTTGGTTATGAAATAAATTCAATAATTTACTAATAATATTAAAATAATAATAATAATAAAAAAGATGAGCCTAAGTTTTTTAAAACATTCATTATGAAAAATTTTAAAAATCTAACGAATTCTATTAAACTCATTTATGATTAAAATTTGTTATCATTTGTACATATTTTTACATTACATTTTGTCGTCAATTTTTTCATATTTTTTAATGGGACACACTATATCTCTATAATATTTATTTGCTTGTCTCTAAGCAAATTTTTTTGACTCCAGGTTCATTGGGTTTATCTTAACAATAATTCCTAAAAAAAAATATTAGGATAAACCTCAATAGATTTAGGTTAAAAAAAGAACTATGTAGAGATAAGCTCAAAAGTGTTATCAAATACAGTATGTCCCACTTGAAAAAATGAGAAAACAAATTTGTACATTTAAAGACCCTTCAAGTTGAGAGTTCTAAATGAGCACTTTTTTATATACAAGTGCAAATATGTTGATCACAAACTTTTGTATTTTATATCATTTTTCTCCTTTTTTTAGTAAGGAATTAATTTAATTAATTTAAATCCTTATAAAAATATATAGGGTGATATGTTAAAAAAAAAATTGTTATTTCAACATGTACTTATTTTGAAGTAAATCCTAATAAATCTTGTTGTTTCGAAAAATTATAAAATTTTATTTTCCGATTTTTGTTTTGTGATAACCTCTGTAAAGTAAAAACCGGTAGCGTAAACAGTAACTCAGAAAAATAGAAAATCGCAAAATAGAAAAACCGAACAGAGAAAAATCAAAAATCGAAAAAAATCGAAAAATCTTCCCTGAGTGAAAAATCAAATATTGAAAAATCGAAAAGTAAAAAGACTGAAAAATCGAAAAACCAAAGAACGAAAAAAAAACACAAAATCGAAACTTCAAAAAATTAAAAATCGAACAATCGAAAATTTGAAAAATCGAAAAATTGAAAAACTGAAAAATCCGAATATTAAAAAATCGAAAATGCCATGAATCAAATAGGAAACAAAAATTCGAACAAACGGAAAACCGAAAATTCGAAGATCTGAAAACGGAAAAACCGAAAAGAGAAAAATAAAAAAAAAAGAAAAATCGGAACATCGAGTAATTGAAAGTTCGAAAATCAAAAAAATAGAAAAACCTCCGGAAAGTGAAAAATTCAAAAATTGAAAAATCGAAAAGTAAAAAGGTTAAAACCCTAATATCGTCAAATCGAAAATTCGAAAAATCGAAAACTCGAGAAATCAATAAAGTAAAGAATCTGAAAAATCGAAAAATTAAAGAATGGAAAAATTGAACTAAAGAATGGAAAAATTGAAAATCGAAAAAGAAAAAAATTGAAAATTCGAAAAATCGAAAAGTAGAAAGAGATTGAAAACTGGAGTATCGAAAATCTAAAACTCGAAGAATAAAGAAATCAAAAATTAGAAAAGTTGAAAAATCGAAAAACTGAAAAATGAAAACATTGAAAATCGAAACTGCAAAAAATTAAAAATCAAAACTTTAACCAATCGAAAATTTGAAAAATCGAAAAAGTGAAAAATCGGAACATCGAAAAAGAAACAATTTCAAAATCCGGATATCGAAAAATCGAAAATTCGATAAATCAAATAGATATTTAAGAACAAAAATCTGAAAGAACGGAAAACCGAAAATTCGAAAATCTAAAAATGGAAAAATTGAAAAGAGAAAAATCAAAAAATAGAAAAATCGTAACATCGAATAATTGAAAGTTCGAAAATGGAAAAATAGAAAAATCTTCCGAAAAGTGAAAAATTCAAAAATTGAAAAATCGAAGAACAAAAAGGTTAAAAAATTCTAATATCGACAAATCGAAAATTCGAAAAATCGAAGAACTGAAAAATTGAAAAATCGGAACATCGAAAAGGAAACAAATTGAAAATCCGGATATCGAAAAATCGAAAATTCGATAAATCAAACAGATATTTAAGAAAACAAAAATCCGAAAAAACAGATAACCGAAAATTCGAAATCTAAAAATGGAAAAATTGAAAAGAGAAAAATCAAAAAATAGAAAAATCGTAACATCGAATAATTGAAATTTCGAAAATCGAAAAACAGAAAAATCTTTCGGAAATTGAAAAATTCAAAAATTGAAAAATCAAAAAGGTAAAAAACTCTAATATCGGCAAATCAAAAATTCGAAAAATCAACAACTCGAGAAATTAGTAAAGTAAAGAACTTGAAAAATCGAAAAATTGGAGAATGGAAAAATTGAAAATCGAAAAGTCAAAAATTGAAAATTCGAATATCGTAAAAACTAAAACAAATTGAAAAAGTCTGAAAACTGAAAAATGTAAAAATTAAAAATTGAAAATTCGAAAAACCAAAAAACGAAAAATCGAAAAGTAGAAAGAGATTGAAAACTGGAAAATCTAGAACTCGAGGAACAAAAAAATCGAAAATTAAGAAAGTTGAAAAATCGAAAAACTGAAAGAAAAAATTGACAATCGAAAAAACGAAAATTTTAAAAATCGAAGAATTGGAACAATAAAAGGAAACAAATTAAAAATTCGAATATCGAAAATCGAAAATTCAATGAATCAAGTATTTGAAAAATCGGAAAACCGAAAAATTAACAATTCGAAAATCGAGAATTCGAAAAATTCAAGAATCGAAATATAGAAAAACCGAAATATCGAAAGTCGAAAAGTCTAAAATTTTAAAATCTAAAAATCGAAAAATGGAAAAATTGAGAAATGTAGAAATCGAAATTAAAAAATAGAAAATTCGAATATCGAAAAGTCAAAAATTCGAGATATGTATCCACAAATCGAAAAATTGAAAATCGACAAATCCAAAAAATTAAAAACCGAAAATTTGAAAAATCGAAGAATTGAAAAAAGAAAAATCGAGAAATCGGAAAGGAAACAAATTGAAAATGTGGATATCGAAAAATCGAAAATTCAATGAATCAAATATTCGCAAAATTGAAAAGTAGAAAGACTGAAAATTAGAGTATCGAAATTCGAAAACTCGAGGAATCAAAACATCGAAAATTAAAAAAGTTGAAAAATTGAAAAAGTGAAAAATGAAAAAATTGAAAATCAAAAAATCCAACAATCGAAATACAGAAAAAACGAAATATCGAAAGTCGAAAAATCGAAAATCTAAAAATCGAAAAATGGAAAAATAGAAAATTAAAAAACTAGAAAAACCGGGAAATCGAAAAGGAAACAAATTGAAAATTAATCAAAAACCAAAATCCGAAAAATTGGAAAACCGAAAATTCGGAATCTAAAAATCTAAAAACCGAAAAATCAAAAATTTGAAAACCAATATTTCGGAAAATCGAAATATCGAAAGTCGAAGATTTTAAAATTCTAAAATCGAAAAATCAAAATGCCAAAAAATAGAAAAATTGAAAAAACGAAATTAAGAAAACCGAAAAATCGAAAATTGAACTTTCGAAAACTTAGAAAATTCGATGGATCAAATATTCGAAAAATCAAAGTCGAAAAATTAAAAAATCGAGAAATTAAAAAAGCAAAAATTAAAAAAAATCAAAAATTCGAATTCAAAAAATAAACAAATCGAAAGACCGAAAATCGTAAATTCGAAAAATCCACAAGAAAAACTCTAGAAATCAAAAATCGAGTGATCTAAAATCCCGAAAGTTGAAAAATCGAAAGTCGCAAACCGAAAATCAAAAATTCGATGAATCAATGTCCGAAAAATCGAAGATGGAAAAATTCTTCCTCTAACCTTAAAGCGTTCATAATGTCAGCGCACTAGTTAATTTGTAAAATGTTATACAAATTTAATTTTTTTCCCAAAAATTTGGAATATAGGGTAAAATCTCAACACGGGCTCATGAATCACACATGCAAGAGTTCGTAATTCTGTAAAATAAGGAACATTCGGCAAAACGGTAAAATGACGTAACATTTCTTGGGGAGAGCATAAACGGAAAAACTTTGATTCACGATTTACCAACCTTACGATAATTTGATTGGAAAACGTTGTTATAGAACTTTGATTTTTCAACACGGATTCATAAACCACGAGTGCAGGAGTATCTTATGTTATAAAATTTAAATAACACTTACTACAGTAAATTTTTGATTAGCCAAATTTTTGCTAGTCGGAAACGGGAGACCTATTTTTTCGTACTCTAAAGGTCATGAAACGTCAAGAAAACATTAAAGTAGCCAGTCGTCCGGTGGACTCGATTACAATATGTATGTAACTATAATGTGGAACCTTTAAAAGAAACACCTATATGTCTGAAAAAAGTCAATAATTCAGGGGAATGCGTATTCTTCGACCGCCAGATTCTTAGAACAGCCTGTTTAATTTTTTACATATTGAAACAGTGTTTTCAAACCATTTTTCATTGAACCTAGTTTAACATATTTTATAATTGTCTGCATATTTACACTCCTACCTATACTACCTATAAACTAGGGTTAAATATCGCTCAGAATTACCTTTGTTTTGACACCGCATTGAATTTATTTAGAAATTTTAAATAAGTCGATTTTGAAAATTAAATGGAAACTA